CATGTCTGTTTTGTCTTCTTTATTCAACTTCCCCTATTTCCAATGGAGCCAAAGAGGTACAGGCACCCATTTGCTTAGAAAGTGTTCCTTCTCTCCTCTCACAATTGTGGCATCTGCCAGCTTTGTCTTTAGCAGCAGACGTCTTCCAGCAAACCTCAAACCCAGATTGAGATTTTATTTCTTTTTTTTTTTTGGCAACCCTTTTTCTTTTTTTTTAATTGTGAAAATATTATACAGAGGGGTTACAATTACTTGGGCAAGATAATAAGTACATTTCTTATCAAGCATTGTTGCCTCCTCCTTTGTTTCCCCTTCCCATCCTTTCCCATCCTCCCCCCACTCCCCACCCAATTCCCCCCCCCGCACCAAAGTTGTAAAGTTTGTTTTCAATATTTTATTGTGATAATACTGTACAGAGGAGTTACAGTTACATGAGCAAGGTAATGAGTACATTTCTTATCCTGTTTTCCCTAGTGTTTTGGACTGAACTTGAAGTCAAGTAGGCAGGTCTATTTAAACACTACTGTCTTAAAAGTAGAAGTCCCTTTTAAGAGAGTGTGCATCCCTCCTTGGCATCTCTGAACCTCCAGCATCTGGTACTATATCCAGGAAAGACGTTTCACGTTTCTTCAACAGAGCCTCAACAAAGAATCTTCCTTATTCTTCCCTATGATGGTACAGGAGGGCATAATTCCCAGTGCCTTTTTATTTGGTTTAGATATTGACATCCCCCACAGCCTTTGTTAGCATCTTGCTCTTTCTGTCTAAGCCAAGTCAGAGTACCTTGCACAGAGGAAACAATAAATTCTACAGAAGTACTTCATATAGTGAGTGCTTTCTTTTTAACACTAATCTGGTAGCAAGTCTCAGTTTTTATGGATGTATAAAAGTGGACACTTATCTCAGTCCTTGTGAATTCCACGGAACACTCCTGACTGGGTATAAAGTTGTGGACAACCTCCATCAGAAAGGATCAGTACAGATCTGTCAGTAGAAAAAGCAGAGATCAGATTTCTCTATGGCTTGTTTTTGGGAGAGAGGACTTTGACTCAAAGAATCTATCCTTCAGATCCCTTGAGAACAGCTCTTTGCGTTGTTATTCTTTCTGTGTTTTTTTTGGGGGGGGAGACTCTAATTCATTTAATTCTGATTTAATTTTAATTATTTGTTTCCATATATTAGGTTAGGATTTGGCTTGTTGTCCTTTTCAAGGAGATTAAGGTGCATCCTTACATTGTTGGTTTGAGATTTCTCCAATTTGTTGATGTAGGAGCTATAAATTTTCCTCTGAGTACGGCCTTTGCTGTGTCCCAGAGGAGCTGGTATTTTGTGTGTTCATTTTTGTTAAATACCATAAACATTTGAATTTCTGTTTTGAACTATGCATTACAGGATTTTCTATGGTGGTTTTTGGTGTTGACCTCTAATTTTATTCCACTGTTGTGGGATAGAATACAGAGAATTATTTCAATATTTCTGAGTTTGCACAGATATTCTTTGTGTCCTAAAATGTGATCTATTTTGGAGAATGATCCATGTATATTCTGATGTTACTAGATGAAATATTCTGTAGATGCCTGTTAAATCTAGTTCGTCTATGCAATTGTTTAGTTCTGAAATTTCTCTGTTGAGTTTTTGCCATGTTGATCTATCCGGAGGCAACCGTGGTATGTTAATGTCACCAATAATCAATGTGTTTAGATCTATGTATGTTTTTAGGGTAGATAGTGTTTGTTTGATGAAGTTGAGTGCTCTGGTATTTAGTGTATAGACATTTAGAATTGTTATGTCCTCCTGTAGGACAGATCCCTTTATTAATATGTAACAACTTTCTTTGTCTCTTCTCACTAATTTTAATTGAAGTCTATTTTATCTGATATTAGGATTGCAACTCCAGCCTGTTTATGGTGGTCATGTACTTGGTAGATTTTACTGCAGCCTTTCACCTTCAGAGTATGTTTGGTTTTGTGGGAAAGATGTGTCCCTTGAAGACAGAAGATAGATCTTGCCTTTTGATCCAACTAGTCAGTCTGTATCATTTAATTGGAGAGTTACGTCCATTAATGTTGAGCTCCCTCGTTATTTAAAGCTTAACTTTCTAAATTCAGTGTGAGTAAAGCAAAAAAAATCCTCTAGCAATAAGCAAAGTTCTCTTCTTCTCTTTCTTTTTTTTTAAATTTTATTTTATTTTATTTGTGAACATACTGTACAGAGGGGTTACAATTGCATGGGCAGGATAATGCGTACATTTCTTACCAAGCTCTTCTTCTCTTTCTTAGAAAAAGATTTAGACTCACCAAGAGAACAAGGCAGACAGACCCAAAGTCCAAACACCCGAACTACCAGGAGCTGGTGGTTGGGAAATAGTTGAAGACACAGGCACTAGCTGAATTGCCAGAATGGCTCCAAGAAGTTTTGTGTGAGACTTGAAGGAAGAACTCATTCCAAAACTCAAGAGGAAAGGAAAAATCAGACCCAGGCTCACGGGAAATGTTTTATAATAATGCAATCTCCAGGGCAAGAAGATGAGGACTTAGGGAGAGTAGGCAAACTGTGTAGCTCTTCTACCTCCCCCTGTGCCTGTGCATTGTGGCCAATGAGGCGCTAGTAATTTCTCTTAGTTATTTCATTTATGGCAAGGACTTTGGGTCTATGTCTGGTCATAATGGTGATCTATGTATGCCATCTACAGTGGGCATGGTTAATGAATCCTATTTTATTTCTTAATTAAGAATTTGAAATGACCTCAAATTACCACAATTAACATGGATTTTTCTTCCTCATTTATTTACTTATTTAGATGCATGAAATTGCACCCTTAGCTTAAACCAACCACAGCATTCAGAGCCTGTTAAAATATATAGCATTCATTAAAATATTTATTCCTTACCAGTGATCTGGAGATGGTGGTGGTATTTATGTATACAAAAATGCTTTTTCAAAGACTATCCATTGAATTCAGTCCATTCAGCTTGGTAGCATAAAATTTCACTTTATTGACAGACCTTTCTATTACTTAAATACACTTAATATTTTCAAAGTAGACTGTTATGCTGACTTAACTTGCAGTATTATGAGGTTTCCTTTCAAAGACTTCAAAACTATAAGCATCATCACATTTTCAGAATGTCAATGCTCACTAAAAGATAAGAATAACCATTTTAAGGTGAAATTTATCAGACTGGTTTAAAAACAAAAATGCTTTGAACATTGTTTAGCATCAAATTATGTATTAGTTTCCAAGATTTGACTTTACTTTTCATTCTTGGGTTTTTGCTTTAAGTTTTGATTTCTAACTAGTTTATATGGAGTCAAAGCTCAAAAAGGGATGATTGAATTTATTCAAAACTACACTTCAGTACAACATCCTTACAATAAAGTGAATTTTTAAAAAAAAATATACTTCAAACTATACCTAGCAGGAACATAAATGTGTACAACACAACAAGAAAGCAATTAAGAAGGAGTTTATTTATTTATTCATTTTTTTGTTGGTCATGGGGTTTGAACACTGGGCTTGGACGCTATCCTTCAGCTCTTCAGCTCAAGGCAAGCACTCTACCTTTGAGCCACAGCGCCACTTCCAGTTTTCTAGTGGTTTATTGGAGATAAGAGTCTCATAGACTTTTCTGACTGGGCTGGCTTAGAACAGTGATCCTCAGATCTCAGCCTCCTGAGTAGCTAGGATTACAGGCGTGAGCATCTGACGCAGGGCTTAAGAAGCAGTTTATTAAAAGTCTTAAAAGATGTATATCTTTTGAAATCCAGATAGTCCACCTCAAGGAATTTATCCTTAGGATAAAACAAGAATACATGCTAGATTTAGCTACAATTATATTTATAACATCCTTGATAATAATAAAAAAATGTGCAGCAAGAAAAAATTAGGTGTATTATGGCAAACCTTATATTGGAATGTTAAATAATTGCTTTAAAAAAACTATGTTGTTTATGCTTGTTCTGCATAGCTGTATCATATTTATCACCATTTCTGCAGATGAGGGACATGGCATAACATTCCTGGGTTATCTCACTTGGACCTTTCACCAAACTGCAATCAGGATCTTTAGGATCATAGTCTTCTCCAAGTTTAACTTAGATGTTGTCTACTTTCAAGCTCATTGGAGTGGTTGTTGACAGGATTTAGTTACTCCTGGGCTGTCAGTCAGAAGTATCCCTTAGTTCCTTGAATTGTAGGCATTTCTACAGAGCAGTTCATGACATGACAGATGACTTTCTCACAGCCAGCAAGCCAAAGAAGAAGACAGGGTGAACAAGATAGAAGACAAAGTCTTTTTGCTACCAGATCTTAGAAATGACATCTTTACCCTTTGCCATAGTCTTACTAGCAAGAAGCCAAAGGTCCAGCCCACATTCATGGGCATTGGATTGCATGATTATACAACAAGGTGAACAACAGGGCAACCAGATCATTGGGAACAATTTGAGATACTGCTGCCACACAGTTAAAGTTTATGGGCAAAGGAATTCATGACATCGTATTCAATTAGACAAATTATATCACAAAACAGTATGCGTAGTTCAACCTCTGTGTTTAGACCAAAATCAATATATTCGTGTATACATAAATATTTATAAAAAACAATCTTAAGTGTTTCATGGATTAGTAGTAGTTATAACTGGATAGCGAGATGACAAATGAGTTGTGGTCCTGATTCTTAATCTGTGTTGTTTTTTTTTTTTTTGGTCCGGTCGTGGGGCCTGAACTCTGGGCCTGGGCGCTGTCCCTCAGCTCTTCAGCTCAAGGCTAGCGCTCTACCACTTGAGCCATAGCGCCACTTGCGGATTTTTTCTTTTTGCTTATGTGGTGCTGGGGAATCGAACCCAGGGCCTCAGGCATGCAAGGCAAGCGCTCTACCACTGAGCCACCTTCCCAGCCCCTTAATCTGTGTTTTTTCTAAAATAAACTTATTGCTTATAATTTTTAAAGTAAAACCAGTTAAATATTCCAGTGTTTCTGACCTCCACTATCTTTACAGGGATATTTCTTGCTTACTACTACTTGAAATCAACTAAATAGAAACTCGCAAGACTACGGTGGCCAACGATACTGTGAAATTGTGAGTAATGTTCTAGAACTTGTTGCTGTGTTTGTGGCTTCTAAAACATCTGCTATTATCAATAATGCTACAATGAGAAATTAAAATTACTTTTACCTTCTTTTATTTTTTGTCGGTTGTGGGGCTTGAACTCTGGGCTTGGGTGCTGTCCCTGCGCTCTTCAGCTCAAGGCAAGATCTCTACCATTTGAGCCACAGCGCTCAAGCAGTTTTCTAATGGTTTATTGGAGATAAAGAGTCTCACGGACTTTCATGCCCGGGCTGGCTTTGAACTGTGACCCTCAGATCTCAGCCTCCTGAGTAGCTAGGATTACAGGCATGAGCCACTGGCTCATGGCTACTTTTACCTTCTTAAATCCCTGAGATCACTTGGGACCACAAGTCAATTGACTTGGGAGAGGGGTAGCCCTATGAAGATCTTTTTCCCCTTGAGCCAGTGTTTTTTCCTTCTCAATTCTTGTTGCTTCCAGAAATGAGCTAACATAATCATGTTAGCCATCTCCTCTGCAAAATTCCAAAGAGATTGATCCTCTTTATATGTCAAAACTAGATGAACAGATCTGACACTGCTGAACATAATTACAAGTTTGGAAAGGGAGAAGGGATGAGGGAGAGAGAAAATGGAACCATTAATAATCTTCACACTTCATTAGTTTTCCTGCCTCATGCCACCAGGAGGGCCTGCATTGGGATGCCACTATTCAGGTTTGGAATGACTTCTTCAGCAATGTAAATGTTATCTTAAGGTCACTTACTGATGAAAACTACTATATTGCCAAGCACAGATTTCTTGGTTGTTTGACAAGCAGACCAGCTGCTTTATACCTGTACAGAGCACAAAGGAAACTACTCAGTATGGGCAAGATAGGTGTGGGAGATGAGGAAGGAAAGCAATAGTCCCAAAGATGAAGAGAGATTAGGACCAAGTCTAAATATCAGTGGACTTCTTTCTATTGGGAACTATAATAAAATAGCTATTAAAAATGACATTCAGATCTTGGATCCTTTTCCCTCAAGTAAAGTCCAAATTAACACTTATCCAAGTGGTGATTCAGAAACCTATATGACTCCTGTCTATGGTTTGACCATCTTCTAAGATCTCTGAGATTGATTTTGGATCCTCTACATCGAGCTGGTTGTCAGAGAAGATGATACAGTACCTCCTCTCTGCCTACTTGACACATTCTAGTTACATGGGCCCTCTTTCATGTAAGAGGCCTTGAAGTAGTCCCTGGATGGCAATTCCTTTCCAATGACTCCACCCTGTGAAAGGTAAACATACCCCATAGACCCTGACCTGAAAAACTGCAGAGGTAGAAAGTCCCCACTTCCCTGTAAATTTAGCGGAAATTCATACATCATACAATAACTCATTGGATGGTGAATAATTCTTCCCCACATAAGAGAACTTCTCATACCAATCATATCTCCTTTTCATGATTAAGATAAGTCACTCGTATAAGGTTCTAAGAAGTCGAGGTTGTTCTCTACGGGAAGCTCTAGGAATACATGCCAGTGCTTGGAGCCAATAGAATTCCATGGAAGCCATCAAACACTACCAGTATTCACATAACCTCAGAGTAGAAGGATAAATAGTGGTGTTGGTGTTGAGTAGAGACCAGCCCTTCAGCCCTAGATCTGCCACTGACTGCTGCAATAATGAAAGCAATTTAAGCTGGGCATGGTCACTCCAGCCTATTGTTCTACCTACTTGGAATATTGAGATCTGTGGATCACAGTTCAAGACAAGCCAGGCATAGACATTCACAAGACTCCATCTCAGTCAATGCTGCATATCTGTCATCTCAGTGACAAAAGGAAGCACAAATAAGAGGATGGAATTCTAGGACAGTCCAAGAATAATAGTGAGATCATATCTTGAAATAATCAGTGCAAAAGGGGTGATAAGTGTGGTTCAAATGGACGAGTTCCTGCTTAGCAAATGTGAGGACCTAAATTCAATCTACAGCACCACCAAAAACAAAAACTAAAGAGTGACTTTATTTTCTAATATGTCAAATGAAGTAGATGTTTCTGGAAATGACAGGTGTATGCCACTGCATCCACTCATCATTCATTTTTTTATAGCTAAGATAACAGGAATGGACTGGGAAGGTGGCTCAGTGGTAGAGTGCTTGCCTTGCATGCCTGAGGCCCTGGGTTCAATTCCTCAGCACCACATAAGCAAAAAGAAAAAAGCCGAAGTGGTGCTGTGGCTCAAGTGGTAGCGTGCTAGCCTTGAGCTGAAGAGCTGAGGGACAGCACCCAGGACCAGCGTTCAGGCCCCATGACCGGACCCCCCCCCAAAAAAAAAGATAACAGGCAGGCACCACTGCATCCAGCCATTGAATGAGATGAAGTCTCATGCACTAAAAGTATAAAGGAGTCAAATAAGGCTCTATTTTTATTCTAGCAATCTTTTGAGAGGCTCCTTGAATCCCTTGGTCTCCTCCTCCATCTTCAAAATGGTGTCAACATTATATCTCTCAGACTATTCTTGTATAGTCATATTTCTGGCCAAGGTTGGGAATTTTCCACTTTGAAGGACTCACATAATTAGACTGAATTCAGAAATTTTAGTCACATCTGCAAAGCCTCTTTTGCTATGTAAGGCAATGTGCATTAGTTCCTGGGGTTGAAGGCCAGCACATCTTTGAGAAAGAGTATCATTATTCTGTCTACCATGTAGAGTAAAAAAGGAAGATAGTCAATCAAGAGTTGGTTGATTGAAAAAGAAATAGCTATGACATTCCAGGCCCAGAGGAATCAGTCTCTGCGATGAGGGTTGTGTGTTACAAGTAAAAGTGGTCTCAGAGTCAACTTCTACAAGGAAAGAAAAGGATAAGAGACAGCAATGTGCGGAGAAAAAAGTAGGTTTTAGCTCGTCACAGGTCCCATTTAACTCTATGAAGATTACCAGAATGGGATGACCCTTCAGAATTGTCATAAAGATCTGGGTCTTTAAGATCTTTTTCTTCTGGTTGCTAAGACCATGTCAAATAATCACAGTACATGGGCTTTCCTGTGCAGAAAAGGTGTGACAAATCAGCTTTCCTCTGCCAAGGATAACTCCCAATAGCTAAAATAACATGTCCCTCATTCTAAGCAAGCAATCACAGTTACATTATAGCTTTCTTAAACTTCCTGTTTCCATGTGGAACCAATTAAGAGAGTTGGTCGTGGTATGTTTTGGAACAAAACTTGACTGACATATCTCACAGAATGAAATCCTAGATGTAGCACTTTCAAATCAGAAAGAAAGGAGTCATGTGTTTCATGTGTACCTTATGGTACACATGAAGAAGAAGAGTGGGAGGCCTTTAAGGTTGCGTGAACAAGGAATCAGGAGCAAACATGGATAGCATGGGGATAGGAGAATGGGATTGGTTCACAAATAGTATTGATTCTAGCATTTAAAACAATTTGACAATATATTCTGGGTACTAAGATCCAGAAATGTAGGCCTCCATCCAAAACACAGCAAATAAGAAGAGACTAAGGGCAGTCTAAGTCATATAGATAATGGCTTAGCATCTTGAAATTTTCCATGAGGTACTGGTCCAGAGAATAGAGCCTGAGATCAGCCGAGGGGATAGCTGGAAAGTAAATAAGAAATCTGGTTTTGGCAAAACTAAGATAAAGCAAGAACTTGATTACCAAGGAAAAGGGCATTCTGTGTTAGATTAAGTGAGTGGGCTGCATGTTGTATCATCTGGCCCATGAATGTCATTTGGCCCAAGCCCAAGTCTGATCCTGGCACAGGAGTAAGAGATATATCTGTTTGTGTGAGTAGCAAGGGTTAGAAAGATGTGGGGCAGAGGCATATGCTCCCTCCAGGGGAGGTGCTTTTCACGGGACATCCAGGCTGACTTCAGTATTCATTATAATTGAGTGGTGTCTGCACTAAGCAAGGAGGGACAAAGACAAATTTGTTCCCATCCCCAAATCCCCAAGATTCTCACTCTCTCCAGCGTGCGCTGAGCTCAGTGTGCATAAAGGCAGGTCAGTGGCCACTTTGTCGTAGACCTGCTCAGCCACCTCCACCTCTCTTCTGTCTTGTTGCCAATCTAAAGGAACTAGTATTTAAGAAAAAGATTTACAAGCACAGGCGGTAGTTCAAGCCTATGATCTAGCTTCTTGGAGACAGATTGAGGAACCATGGGAAACCATTGAGCTAACCTGGGAAAAATTAAGTTTGTGAGAGTCCATCTTACTCAGTGGCTGGGCACGGTGGCGCGTGTCTATCATCCGCAGCACGAGTAGGAGAGTCTCAGCCCAGGCCAGTCTGGGAATGAAGCATGACTATACTTCAGAAATAACCAATGCTACAGATGCAAGAAGGGTCTGGGGACATAACTCAAGTGGTAAAATACCTGCTTTGCAAGCATGACATTCTACATTTAATCCCTAGTACCACAAACAGAGAGAGAGAGAGACTTCCAACCAGGTGATGCTACATACATCTATAATGCTAGCACTCAGGAGGCTAAAGCAAGAGAAACATGAGTTAAATACTAGCATGAGCTACATTTTTAATTAAAAAATAAATAGGAAGGAAGGCAGGAAGGAAGGAAGGAAGGAAGGAAGGAAGGAAGGAGTGTATCTCAGTGGTAGCATCCCACAAGGCCCCAGGTTCCATCCTAGCACCATTAGAAAGATTTTTCAAGACAAACATAACACACAAAACCATGTTCTCAATTATCCTTGGATTCAAATATGCGCATGCATAGGGAAAGAGCAAAAGGCACAACAAAAGATGCAAACAAGTTCAGGAAAATGATTTATCAGAAGAAAGAGCAAAATAGGTGCAAGAAAGATATTATGAGGGTTCAATTATCCCTAAAATTTTCTTTAACTAAATTAAAATGAAAATAAAATCATTGATGTGTTTGCATTATAATATTCGGAGACATAGACACTTAGTGTTTGAGAGTAAACAATGCAGAAAGGAAATGTTCATCATCAACTGCCTTTCCTTCCTCTGGTGGAAATGAGATGACA